CCTCCCCACGGACGACACCCACCTTCCTGGGCGGCGTTGGCGCCCTGCAGGCTGGTGGCCACCAGGTGCCCGTCCCGCAGGCACAGCCCCTTCTGCTCCGTGTCCCGCAGCACGTAGTGGTATGGCTGGGCCGGGGGGCGCGAGGCCGCCGAGGACACCATCGTCACTTTTGGGGACACGGGGACATGTGAGGACACAGGGACGGGACACAGGGATGTGGGGATGGGGGACACAGTGGGGACGGACACGTGGGGACACGGGGACAGGGGGATGTGGGCACATCACAGGGACGTGGGGATGGGGCCCACGGGTGATGGGCAGGTGAGACATGGGGAACATGGGGACATGGGGTGTCTTGGGCACGTGGAGACGTGGGGACATGACAAGGATGTGGGGATGGGGGACACGGGGACATGGGGATTGGAGACACCAGTGTGACAGACGTGGGGAGTGGGAAAGAGGCACGTGGACACATGGGTACACGAGGGGGCACATGGGCACATGGGTGCACGGGGACAAGTGGGCACCACAGGGATGTGGGGATGGGGGACATAGGAATTTGGGGGCAGGGATGGACACAGGGACACCTGGGGACACAGGGGACCCGTGGGGCACCCAGCAGGCACTGCCTCTACCTTTCCCCAGGAAGTCCTCGAACAGGGCCTCCATGTCGGGGTCGACGACAGACTCAGCCATGTTCCCGGGCCCCGTCAGGACTCCCAGGGGGTGGGACCGCTTGGGGGGTCCCCGGGGACCCCGGGCCCCTCTGCACCAGGGAGGGGGGAGAGAGAGGGGGGTGAAGATGGGTGTCACACGGGGTGACCCGACCCAGGTGTGAAGGGAGGGGCAGCCCCATCCCACCCTGTCCCCACTCACGTGACAGCAGGTCTGGACACGCGGGACATGGCTGGGCCTGGAGGGAGAGGGGGACACGGGGGACACAGGTGACACAGGTGGAGGACACCCCTGCCATTGACCCCTGTCCCCTGCTGCCAACCCCGGCCATCAGGAGCATCCAGAGTGAATGCCCTGGGAATCCTTCCTGGGCAGGACATGGCTTGTCCCTGTCCCTGTTCCCAGCCCTGGGAATTGTTCCCAGGCAGGACCTGGCCTGTCCCTGTCCCCGTTCCCAGGTACCTGTGACTCTGGCAGCTCCCGAGGTCCGGTCCTGTCTGGGCTCTGTCCCCTGGGGGTGGTGGTGGCTTTATAGGGCCGGGCAGGGCGGGGGGCAGAGCCCGCCCTGCTGATTGTAGGGCAGTACCAAGCTGGCATGGGGAAATGCCACCTGGGCCCCTTGTCCCCATTATCCACTGTGCTGCCCACGGTCACCATGGCAGGGATGTCCCCTGTGCCATGTCCCCCCCCACCAGCCCTGTCCCCGCAGTGTGCCCTGTCCCACAGGTACTGGTGTGTCCCCAGTGCCCTGTCAGCATTTTCCCATGTGCCTTGTCCCCATGGTGCCTGTGAGCCCTGTCCCAAACTCCCACGTGCCCTGTCCCCACAGGCACCTGTGTCCCATCCCCATGGTCCTGTGCCCCCTGTCCCTGTGGCCCCACAATCTCTGTTCTCGCAGTGTCTCTGTGCCCCATTCCCACAGCCCCGCGTGTCCCATCCCCCTTTTCCTGAGTGCCCTGTCCCTGCTGTGCCCCCTGTCCCTGGGTCCCACATGCCCATGTGCCCCATCCCCGTGATACCTGTCCCCATGTTTGTGTCCTCCCTGTCCCCATGGTTCCACAAGCCCTGTCCCCATGGTGTCCTGTCCCCAAGATCCCATGTGCCCTGCACCCATGTGCCCCGTCCCCACAGCCCCACGTGTCCCGGTGTCCCCTGGTCCCACATCCCCTGTCCCCGCGGTGTCCCTGTGCCCCATTCCCACGTGTGCCGTGTCCCCGCGTCCCCTCCCCGCGGTGCCAGGCCGGGTGTGCCGGGCGGGAAGCGTCGTTTCCCCGGCGGGATCCGGGAAGGGGCGGCCCCGAAGGTGCCCG